GCTTAGAATCGAAATGGTCGATGTGTAGCTTAGTTTTGTCCCTTGAAACACTCGTTCTAGTCTATTCATTTGTCGCATTTGCTACCAACCGTGTTAATACAAAACCTCTGGTGTATTCTTTGAATTTAATGACTTAACTTGATACTGATTTTTTATGTTTAGGTAAAGAGTGTGGCTCGTATTGTTGAAGGCGATGCTGGTAAAGTAATCTGCAAGGAAGCAGAGAAAGTGAAGCCTGCTGCTGTAATTGTGGGCACACGAGGCCGGAGCTTAGTAAGAAGGTTTGTTTGATATACAGTAACAACTACTAGCTGTGATCTATATCAGTGTTTTTCTTCTTTCTTTTTCTGATTTTTGAGTTGGATGATTCTCTTTTGGAATCTTCTGCAGCGTGCTACAAGGGAGTGTAAGCGAGTATTGTTTCCACAATTGCAAATCCGCTCCCGTCATAATCGTTCCTGGGAAAGGTACATGACTATATCAATCAATCATCGTAAAACCCGAGTCATTTTCACAGTTCGTTTGTATAACTAAAAGAAACCTTGTGTTCTAATGCAGAAGCTGGAGACGAGTCGATTGTGGACTGGACACGTTCAGAAGATCCAAAACCCTGAAGAAAAGTTCAAGTATTTCCACGAAGACTGTTTTGTTTTTCATTTTTCTTTCGCTATTGTTGCAGTCTTTGTTTCTGTAAGTTCGTAAAGAAAACTTGAAATGCTTCTTCTTCGTCTCTTTGTGTGTGTATGTGTTTTGATTTGGGTTTTGTAGTTTCAAATTTCTGTATAAAACCTTTGCTCAGGAATGAAATTATTGTACGCAATGGTGTCATGTGTTTCAGACTTTTCACTAAACAAATCTATAGCAGAAACTATTTCTTTTACGCATTTGATCGAACACTTGGTGTGCGTCTTTGTGAAACATAGAAAGATAACAGATTTGTTGATTACTGGAGAGATAAGTCAACCATGGCGGAGTTTGGAGAGCTCGAAGCTCAAGATGGAGTTAGAATGCCATGGAACATCATCCCCGTCGCAACGAAGAAAGAACAATCAATCGACTCTGAAATTCCAGTTTCCGCCATTTACACACCTCTGAAACCTCTCGCCGATCATTCTCTTCTCCTTCCTTACTCTCCTCTCCGTTGCCGGACTTGTCGCTCCGTTCTAAACCCTTACTCCGTCGTCGATTTTTCCGCCTGTATTTGGGGTTGTCCTTTCTGCTTCAATCGGAATCCTTTCCCGCGTAATTACTCTTCAATCGCCGATAACAATCTCCCGCCGGAGCTTTTTCCACATTCCACAACTGTTGAGTATCTTTGTGACTCCTTCTCTTCTCCTTCTCCTCCTGTTTTCCTCTTCGTCGTTGATACTTGCTTGATCTCTGAAGAACTTGATTTCCTCAAATCATCTCTCTTCCAAGCTTTGGATCTTCTTCCTGATACCTCCATCGTCGGTCTCATTACCTTTGATTCATTAGTTCGTGTTTACGAGCTTGGATTCCCACACTGTACCAAATCTTACTTCTTCCATGGAAACAAAGACTGTACTAAAGATCAGCTCTTGGATCAGCTGAGTTTCTTCGTCAAGAACCCTAAACCTTCTTCAGGTGTCATTGCTGGTGCTAGAGATGGTCTCTCTTCCGACGACATTGCACGGTTTCTGTTACCGGCCTCCGATTGCCAGTTTACTCTTCACTCTGTTCGTAAATTCATTGCCTTTCAACTTATCTTCTCTTTATATATTCAACATTGTGTTCACTAGTTAACTTCTGTTTTGTTTCCTGGTTTAGGTTCTTGAGGAGCTGGGAAACAATCCCTGGCCCGTTGCACCTGATCACCGCCCTGCGAGATGCACTGGTGTTGCCCTCCGAATCGCTGCTGGTCTCTTAGGAGCTTGCTTTCCTGGCTCTGCTGCTCGAATCATGGCTTTTATTGGTGGACCTTCCACTGAAGGCCCTGGAGCTGTAAGTCTTTTCTCTTGTTAATCATATCCGTTGGTAGAAACTCGGTGCTAGCTGATGCTCTTTTATTGCCTTTTTCTAGATTGTTTCCCAGGAGCTTTCGGATCCAATTCGCTCTCATAAGGACATTGATAAAGATTCTGCTACGTATTACCACAATGCTGTCGAGTTCTATGAGATGCTTGCAAAACAACTCGTTCATCAAGGTCATGTTCTTGATGTTTTCGCAAGTTCTGTTGATCAGGTGATTGTATGGAGAAATTTGTTAGTACTCTTTTTCTTGTTTTATAGCTACCGTTTTTATTTATTATAAGCATCTCTAGGTAGGCATTGCTGAGCTCAAAGTTGCAGTTGAGCAGACTGGTGGATTTGTTGTGCTTGCTGAAAGTTTTGGCCACTCAGTATTTAGGGATTCTCTCAAACGCGTGTGTCAGTCAGGTGAAAATGATCTAGGCTTGTCCTCATGGTAATGGCTTACCTAACTTTCATGTATGTTTTCTTTATCGAAAATGAACAATCTTTTGTCTGCTATGTTTAGCTTCAGCGAGTTGTTTCTTATGATCTGTTTCCCTCTTACAGTGGTATATTTGAAATTAACTGCTCAAAGGATATCAAAGTTCAGGGAATTATTGGCCCTTGCGCATCTCTCGAAAAGGTATCATATAAAACTGTTAAAGGTATCTATTTTTCCTTGAGCTTGTTGTGATCACTTTCTGATGATTGTTTGCAGAAAGGACCGTTGTGCTCTGACACTGCCGTCGGTCAGGGACACACAAGCGCATGGAAGATGTGTGGCCTTGACAAAAACACTTCAATATGTTTGGTTTTTGAAATTGCTAAAAGGGATACAGCTGATGTTGTTTTGCAGTCGCAGAGCAATCAGTTTTACTTTCAATTTTTAACATAGTAAGGGATTTCAAGTTTTCCATCTTAAGTTATTATTGCAAGTTATGGATGTAATATGACACGCTTTCTGCTTACAGCTATCAGCACTCAAATGGTCAAACAAGACTCCGGGTAACAACTCTTTCAAGAAGATGGGTAATGGGAACTGAAAGCTTACAGGCAAGTTTTGAGTAGTATGTGAATCTACTGTCTTAAATAGGGAGCCATTTGGAAGAGATTCTTCTAACGTTTAGAGGATAGCATTTATATTACCACTTCAGTATGATTGGTGGTGTAATATATATGAGAAACGAGTTGCCACACCAGTTATATTATGGAAAATTTATGGCTTATTTCATCTTATGTTCTTAGTAATCCATTCTAAGCCAGGTTTGAGAATTGTTCAGTGGTTTTGTACATGGCTAGACTAATCCTGTTTTCTCTGCATATAACTATGGTCTCTAACTCTTCCTTGGAAATTGCGTTGTGAAGTATAGGAGTTGAGCAATGGTTTTGACCAAGAAGTAGCTGCTGTAGTAATGGCACGGCTTATTTCTTTCAAAATGGAGACTCAGGTACTCGATGATGAGAGCTAGAGTTAGATTCCTTAAGCTGAATAGCTGATAGAGGATATCATGTTTTAGTGTTTCTTAGGTTTCTTATTTGTTCTTTTACAGCCTGAGTTTAATCCCCAAAGGTGGCTCGATAAAGCTTTGATAAATATATGCACCTGGTTTGGAGATTACCAGAAAGGCAATCCTTCTTCCTTTAGCTTGTCTTCTCAGTTATCAATTTTCCCGCAGTTTGTGTTTCACTTGCGCCGATCTCAGTTTGTCCAGGTACTCTCTTCTCACTGCCCATAAATACATGAGAGACTGAAATTACTTTTAACGCTCAATTTTATCTTTTTGAGCTCATTTGGCTTTTCCCCTTTGTAGGTCTTTAACAACAGCCCAGACGAGACAGTATATTTTCGAATGATATTGTACAGAGAGAACGTTTCGAATTCAATCGTGATGATTCAACCTTCACTGATTTCTTTCTCATTCCATTCACCGCCAGAACCAATTCTTCTTGATGTAGCATCCATTGCAGCTGACAGAATCCTACTGTTGGATTCATACTTCACTCTTGTAATATTTCATGGTTCTACCATCGCCCAATGGCAAAAAGCTGGATACCATAATCAACCTGAACACCAGGTATTATCATCCATAATCTTAAAACAGAGATGATAAAAGTTGTCTTCTAGAGTCTGATCTTCATAAAAACTTGTCTTCTTTGCGCCAGGCATTTGAGCATCTGTTGCAATCACCTCGCGACTACGCAGACACAATCATCAATGAACGGTTTCCCACTCCGCGTCTTGTCATATGTGATCAGTATGGTTCACAGGTACCTCTCCTTCTTTGCTCATGCCTCCATTTTCCGACCAGAGTTAGTAAAAATTCCGAGCTAGAGGTTCCATTTGGATGCTTATTATTGTTGTTTTGGTTGTTTCTCTTGCTGTGTATTTTTGGCAGGCGCGTTTTCTTCTAGCAAAACTGAATCCTTCTGATGGCGAAGCTCCTCTTTCCGGGGAGAGTAATGTTTTCACAGATGATGTTAGCTTGTCTGTGTTTCTTGATCATCTTAGACGACTCATTGTTCACTGATATATGAGCCTGCCATTTAGCTAATGACTTGATTCGCACTCGTAACAGATATTTTTATGTTTACGTGAGAAAGTGACAAAAAGATTTAGGCAAGATTCCTTTTTCACATTAAACATAAGAGACCTTAAAAAAATGGAAAAGCACCAAAAAACTTGATCTTAATTTAAAAATGGAAAATCACCAAAACAACCTAACGTGAAAAGGAAAAGCAACAAAACCCATACTTCGTATCATCAATCTCCAAAATATTTCTATAAACAAAAATTGAAGATTCATTAAAGTTAAGGGGTCCAAACATAATTTAGAAGAACGTACATCCAATAATACAAGGGGTCCCTTGTACACAATTAAAAATTAAGGGGTCAAATTTGAAGAAATAGCTAAATAAGATCTTCTTAAAACGCTGCGTTTAGTAACTTGCTCTCCAAGGAGATCTACCGTGTTCTAGTCGCACCTGATTACAACCTAGAACTGTATATATATACACGTCGTCTTTGTGCTTGCAGAGAAAGAAAAACAGAAAAAGAGAAGGAACTTGCAGAGAAAGCAAAAAAAAAAGAAGAAGAAGCGAAGAAGAGAAACTAAAGATTCAGGTACTTTCTAGCTTCGAATCTCTTCATTGATTTCTTTCTTATGAATTACTTGTGATCGATAATGATGCTCGCGAGTTCTGTTTACGAATTTACTGAATCGTCGCAGCAAGTTTTGAGAAATTCGTTAGTTTTTGTTTGAATCTCTCTTAGGAATTTGGTCGAACACTTGGTGGGTATCTTGTTTATATGAATCGTTGTGAAATTGTTTTGTTTTTGCATCACAGAGTGTTTTCTTGCGAATGATTGATCTGATGATTTTGGTTGTCGAGAATCCGAATGGTTTTGGTTAGATGTTTAAGTTATGTTTGTGAGACTTTAGGGTTCTTGAGACTTGGTTTCGATTATTGGATTAACATAACTAATTGGATCATTCGTATTCATGAGATTTCTTTGTGTTTTTGGAGCAGGAACAAATGGCTTCCCAGACAAAGCAAACCGTGGTGGATACACAGAAAATTGAAACCGAGAACCCGCCAAAACCGGAAGTGCCTTTATCATCATGCAGGAAGAGGGTGAAGGATGATAATGCCACTTTCTTTGAAAACCTCAAGGATCACATGGATGAATTCATCCATGCCTCAATGGATGAACACAAGACTTGTTTCAAAAACACCATGAACAAGGTTCTTTCTCTATTCTCTACTATCTCCTGATGACACTCACATTCATGTATAGTCATATTCATTCACAGTACTAATCTATTATGAATAAACTCATCTTGAACTCTGCAACTCTATTGATGTATTGTGGATTCGGCATATCGTGTAGTCTTTGCAAGCAGTAGAAAAACCGTCGCTGATGTGTTTTATTCATCTTCAAGATGCTTGTTCATGATTAGAATGCATGATTATCTATGTCTATTATCTATTGTTGATCTGTCCCTTAACTCATGTGGTTGGATCTCTCAGATGTTCGGGACCTTTTCGAAGTCGGATGCAGTTGCAGAGAAGCAATTTGAGGCTAAGGAAGTCGTCGAGATTCACTCTCCTCTTCAGGCAGCAGTGACTAAGTAGAGGATTCACAACTACTGAGCTCAGAAAAACTATGAAGTGTTTTCTTTTTCTTTTATCTTGTTTAAAGTTTTAGAACAACTTTCTATGGTGTGCACAAATACTCTTCAAGTATTTGGGTGTTAATACTCTTAGAACCTGCTATCTTTAATCTATTCTAATATCAGACAACTTGTTTCTAGACCATTGCATTAATCATCTTTACTAATTTCATTTAATATGCAAGTCTTTATCATGATTACATCCATAGAAGCATACCAATATCTTGCAAAAATCATTCCCTGCTTTATACTTTGTTTAAATACTAAATAGATAACATTGATTGCCATTTAACAATTTTATGAACATATGACCATGGATCGCCAAACTTATATATAAAAGTTGCAAAAACATTCGTTGGTTTGGCTTGGAATCCTCTGTTATGAACTTATGATTATGAAATTATATAAACTTTTTTAATAATAATTATATTAAAAAAAATTGTTAGGCTTGATAAATTATTGTTAAAAAGTTGATATTTTGGTGCAATTGTATATATTTCTTCGTAATTGGCGGATTGGATCCGCCCTCTTGTATTGGCGGATAAGACTTAAAACACTTAACCCTAGCTGTGGAATTTTTTTTACTTGAGGAAAGAAATATATCTTGGCTAACAATTTGCAATATCTTATCCAAAATACGGTTAGAATGGTATTGTTTCAATGTTAGTGTGCTGTGTTTCAATGAAACAGTTTTATCTTTATTAAGAAATATCTTTTCACAAAATTATAGATTTTTACTTTTTCCCCAAGAAGAATGTACATACAATTGTTCTCAGATAAAATTTTGCCCTTAACAGATTTTTACTTTTACCTCAAACATAATTCTTTTTTATGTTTAAGGGGGTGTTCTTGAAAATCTTTGATTTAAAATCCATGATTGAATAATAGAGAAGCAACTAGGGATTAACAAAATACATTTACTAACCTTTATTTTCTCTGTTCCTAATTGATTGTTGTTCTAGCATTTTTTTTTCCAAAAAATGGATTTTTTAGTTCTTTTTTTCTTTTTTTTCTTATTGATTCATATTATAAATCGTAAACTCAAGACTCCATGATTAAATTTATCAAATTACTATTGGTTCGTTCATAGCTATTGAAAAATGTTTGATATAAAAAATAATACTGTAATGATTAAATCTTGTCTAAACAAAAAGATAGGTTGAAACTAACTCAGGTTCGATCCACCCTAAAAACAAAAATCACATTTGTTTGGGTGTGGGAAGTCTGGGCTTGGGTTTTGGCCCAAGCAATTCACATGGTATCCAAGATTAGCCTAACTGGATACCCCAGACATTAGTCGGAAAGCATTCCAAACTTGGGGTTAGGCAGTGTGGTAGTCCAACACCTAGATGTTGGCGACGAGTCCACATGGTACCAATTCGGCAACACCTAGGCATGTCAATCGGGCTAGCCTGGCCCGGCCCGAAGCCCGCAAAACCCGTACATATTTGAGCCCGGCTCAGCCCGTCCGTAAAAATTCCGAGCCTATATTTTAAAACCCGGCCCGGCCCTAACAGGGCTACATGGCTTTTCCGGGCTACATAGCTTTTCCGGGCTTTTTTGGACTTTTCTTCCGACAACAAAAAAACAAACTTATAATTTATAATATCTCTTAAAAAAAATCTATATATGAAAGGAGTCAATCAAAATTTAAATAACCACTAACACTAATTTAGTTTTTTAAAAAGAGAATTAAAATCAAATAAATAATTCAAATAAATTGTTTAAACTTATACTAGATAAAATATAAAATAAAAATAATTCAAATTAGGTAGTAGAGATAATATTTGTTTCTTAGATTTATAGTAATACACAATTAAAAAACTTAGTTTAGGATTTTAAACTCTATCAAAAACTTTTTTTACAACAAATGTTACAATTAAACGAAAATATTAACAAAAAAAAAGGGTCTAAATATTTTTTAAAGGGCTTTTCGGGCTAGCCCGAGCCCGGCCGGGCTAAGCCCAAAAAACCCTTTAGCCAGAACGGGCTTAGCCCGAAGGCCCGATTTTTCCTGGACATATATTTTGAAGCCCGAGCCCGGTGTTTTTTAAGGCTGGGCCGGGCTAGCCCGCGGGCTTTGGCCCGAATTGACATGTCTAGTTCCCTCCGGGCTGACCGGATCAGCCGATCGGATATATATATATTAAAAAAAAAAAAAGATAAGTCCGATACAAAAATTAGAGTTTTCTAAGGATCAAAGATTAGAGAATATGGCTCTGTGGTTTCTGTTTGCGCACACAACCATGGGAGTCTCTTATGATCCTCACTTGGAAGACGGACTACGGCATGACTCTTCCTCCCTTAAGAATTTACCACATTATGTGGATGTTAAGTTAAGTATACATTTACATAGTTCATATGTAGTTAACTTATACATTGAGAATTAGTTCATTTTACATATAGAGTCATCTATATTTAACTAAACATTAACTTTACATCGACATGGTTGTTATATTCCCAAATAGTTAACTACTTACACAAAATAGTTACTTCATTTCCTTGTTCTCCTAATTTTCATTTTCAATCAAACTCAGTTGTTGTTGTTATGAGTTTAAGATCTTGTCTAGTATTACAGACACAACTCAGAAGTATTCTTTGCCCTATATCATAAACAGAACAAAATAAACAAACTTTTTCAGAGAACAAGGTATTAATAGTTGAGCAACAACATAATTATTCTAGAAACTTAGACAAACAGTTTTATGTAGTATTGGATTGCTACAAATGTTTACTGATAAAAAATACAGTTCTATGCTAACAATGTCTGATGAGAAGAAGATTAACATCAAATTCTTCAAAGCAAATGATTAACATTTTTTTCTCCTTGTATATTCTCTCATCAACCAATAAAAATCCCTGGCCCTGACCATGGATGGAGATTCTCCATTTCCTAAGTTCTTTTCTTCAAAGATTCCAAGAAACAAGAAAATAAAAATAACTCTACTGTTATAGGCTGCTACTATGGCTGATTTAGGACCAGTCTTGTGTCTGTGGATACTTTTTTCCCTCAAATGGGAATAGCTCTTATGGGATTCCTGGTGATAATATGCCATTTCCTTCTTTTGCGTAAAGTTTGTCCGAATCAAATTTTGTAAAGGGATCATTCTTTTGTTGATAATAATATCTCACCACTATCCTCAAAAAATCCTTCTAAAACATATTGAGCTACAGAAACTTCCATTATAGTGTGATTACTTCAGGTTCGGGTTCTTCTCCAAGTTGCGCAAAAGGAGCAAACCACTAGGAGAGGAATCAGAATACTTAGTTTTTGTTTCTTGCTAGATTTGGGGATAAGGGTTCCAAATATCAACATAAATTTTGTAACAAATTTAAAAAGCTTACTCTTTACCTTCCTTTTCATACAGATTCCTTGTAAGCTACTCCTGGTAAATTCTCAACAATGATCACTGGAGCTAGAATCAAGACAGATATTGGAATAAAATCCTCAAGCCTTTACTGGTGTAATAGTGAAAAAGTAAAAATAAGCCTTGCTCAAAAACAAGCAAGTGACCTTATGAACTCAAGATTATTATTTCCACAACTAAAGAACCTAAATGTGGGGAAAGTGTTTCATTTTTACCATTTTAATACCTAGGCAAAGAGGGTCGCTGTGAAGAATCGTGACGATGAGAATATCAGTAGTGCAATGCCTACTAGCAGAATTTCTTAGCAACTTGCAATCTATTATCTCTCTGGAATATATTGTGCCCCAAGGCCTCATTATTATTAAGATTCTTTCTCTGTTTAAAGTTTTCCTTCTCGATAAGAAGTTTCGCCCTAACCAAACCACGACATCTTAGAAACAGAACCATCCATATCATAACTAGAATAAAAATATCTAGATCTTGAGATAATTTGGATCACAGAAACGAAAATATCTTTATAGAAGTGCTTATATTGGCATATATCCAGAAAGAGAGCAAATTAGAGTATCATAAGACCTCTACAAGTAAGGGAATATCATCTTAATTACTTTGCCAAGCTAATAACACTTAGTGAAACTATAATCAAGAAAGATCCAAGAAGTATGGTTCTTAGTAGCTTTACTTTAAAAAATGTGTAGGCAATAACTTTACAAAGTCTTGGAGTCTTTTGAAAACTAACCTGATTCAATAGCCATAACTGATAAGATATGAGTATGGTCGTCCATCTCCCATGGCACTTTGAGTCACCTGTGTTTCCGAGAGAGGAAAATCTTGAGACTTTAAATCAATCTGTCAACTTTACTATGAGCTAAAATCAAACAACAAGTGCATCATTAATGAACAACCTTTGTTGCATGAAAAGAAAATCTTCAAATCTTTAAAGAATGACATAACCATGAAACAAAATGCTCACTTTCTGAGTTAAAACCAAACAACAAGTGGATCATTGATGCATGTTGTCTTTTTGCCAAGTATGTATATAGTCCTATTGTGCATTATTTGGTGTGATCTTTTTAGCAACCTAATTTAGTTACAGGACAATAATCTATTTGCCCATCCCAACCCTGGATTCTTACCAAACAAGGTAACTAATTGTTCTTGTGAAACATCAGTGTTTATAATACGACAACAAACCATTATAATATGTAAAAATTTTGGTTCCTGCCCATATGCAATAATGCAGACACCAAAGAACAGGAAAAAAAAAACAATTTGAATATCCACCAAGAAAAGTGATTATTTAACAAATTAACAACCAAGAATCCACATTAGACAATATATGACCAAGAAAAACACAGTTGCCTAACTTCAAGGAGATGGACCCAACAAGGCAAGGAAAAAAAAGGTAGGTAAACAATGTTGACCTTTTTTTTTCAACAACAACAAAACACACAAAAAATGTCGATGATTGTACGGAAAGATCTATACAGCTAAATAACTTGATATGATGTCCATGGCAGAGAATCTCAAGGTAAAGCTCTGCCCCCACTTTCCTTTAAGAATTCTTCTTATACAAGAGAATATATGACTTATGGTGAACACACGAAAAGCTCTAATTTTGTGTTTGTGGATACAAATTAATCCTCACAATGTTTCAAATCACTGAGATTTTTTATAAGAAGGAAATCTGAATAGTCAATGAAAATCATCTGTCAATAGAGACTTGTCCCTAACTTTAATCCAAAGGCTTGTAATTTTCCTAGTCTCGCGAGCACGTGAGCTTTGTGCTGTGATTAGAGACCAGACTGTTCCATGACTTAAGTACCATAGGTAGAGAGATTTTCCTAACTATTTATTACCTAAACTGTTTCTTTTGACAACAAGCTTAATCTAGAGAATGACGTCATAACCACTAATTGGGAAAGAAAAGTAAACACATTAGTTATAACATTTATAGAAAAGTGTCTCTAGGGAGCATCATATGCCAAATATGGATAGAAAAACGCAATCTTTGGTTGATTAGTTTGGATCTTTGATACTGATCTCCACAACAAAATTTGCTCATATTATTTTCTAGCTATAGAGACAAAGACTTAAAATTCTCTTTGTTTTGGCAAAGATATCTTTAACAACTGGGCCTACCTCACACCAAAACCTCTTTATAAAGAGCAAGGACTCTGCGACATCTGTGCAACATATCATTTCCTCAGAATCTCTTTCTTATTTTAACACAAAACCAAACATCAACTTTAGTTACTAAACAATGGCATCAGGCTCAATGTCTTCTTATGGCTCTGGCTCATGGACTGTTAAGCAGAACAAAGCCTTTGAGCGTGCTCTAGCAGTCTATGACCAAGACACTCCTGACCGTTGGCACAATATTGCTAGATCTGTTGGTGGTAAAACACCCGAAGAAGCTAAGAGACAATATGACCTTCTCGTGCGTGACATCGAAAGCATCGAGAATGGTCACGTGCCGTTCCCTGACTACAAGACTACTACTGGAAACAGCAACAGAGGCAGGCTGCGTGATGAGGAAAAGAGGTAATAAGACACATTTTATACTAATAACAACTAAATCAACTTTGTTTATCCATAATAGCCCACTATTAAGATACTTCTATAGCATGACAAGAAAACATAAAAAAGGGCATGTCTGTTTCAGCAGAAAGCTTGTTACTTTACAAAGATTCTCTTATATTAAAGTTATGAGAGGCTCTAAATCATCCAAGTGTTCTCTTCTCAGTGTTCTTGAGGCTTTATCACAACACAAACTAAAAGCTCCCATATAAAAAAAATATGCCTAGAAATAGAATCATTCCTTGTCAATATTAATTGATTCCCAAATCTTTCACCAAGAAACTTCCAGAAACCTATGAAACTCGAACCAACAAGATTTTAATCTCTCTTCTTTTTGCAGGATGAGAAGCATGAAGCTGCAGTGAAACAAGAAGCAACAAAAAAAAAAAAAACTAACTACGTATGATCGTCAAGAAAATAAAAGAGAATCACTTCAGGGAGATGTGTTTTTCTCAATGTCTGACGAATCAATGTTTTTTTTCTTGCAATTTCTCATGTTTTCCCTAAGAATTGGTTTTTTTTTTTGAGGCAAAAAAAAGCACTCGAATTAGTTAACCAAAATCTGTATTTAGGGTTCTTCGTAATGAAAAATCCATTGTCTAAAATCACAATAAAAATGTTGATTATATATTACTATCAAGCTTTAACGAATAATTCAGTCACGGATTAATCTCAACCAATCTGAATCAATGTTGCTTCAAAATGGAAAAATCCAAAGTGATAAATCAATTAAATATAATGGAGAATCCAATAATGGAAAAAGTATATGCGAATCGGACAAGAAGAAGTCTCGAAATCAACGAATCAATTAACCAATCTCTATTTTTAGGGTTCTTCGAAATTTGGGAATTTTTTTTTATCAAATTATTCAACTTTGAATGTTGATAATTGGTGAATCACTGTTTATTGATAATCAAATCATGTCACGGGAAGATAAAAACTCACCTCGAAAAATCTGCAATTTCTGATCGCAATCTTCAAAATCCAGCGAAAATCAAATAGAGTTTCAAAATTTTGGGAATTTTATAGAAAACCAAAACCCCCAAATTTTCAATTCAACAGTTTTTTTTTTTTGGTATAGAGAGGAAAAAACAAAATTAGGCGGGAAATCTGATTGTTCAAAAAGTATGTCAAGTGCAATTAATTAGTTATACCACAGATATACCGTACGGATACGATTTTGTACCCATGTACGGTATACCAATACACATGCATATGTCCCTCACCGTATTCTTTTTTTTATGAATACAGTCATTTTATTTCTTAAACTGAAGTATATCCACTAAAGGACAAGTAAAACTTGTATTTTGTTCGTGTTATCTTTGATAAAATGCCAAAGAGAAAAACAGAATGACTAGAACCCAGATTATCTTTGGTTAATGGATTTCAGCGGATTGTGAGAAGCTCCTTATTTTGATTAAGCGATGGGTACAGAAAAATCAAGAATTTTGTGAGAGAATATGGTCAAAAATACTTCTGAAAGATTACTTCTAAGCTTTCCAAGTATCAAAGAATACCTCTGAGCAATGTTAGATCTCCAAGTATAGACCAAGAGTTTTCATTTGGTTATGAAGTTCACTTTACTATCTCTAAGGAGAAAAGGGATCTATGTCTACATCTTCAAGTGAGCATTGAAAGACTCAAGCTCCTATTAAGTCAACAAATTTGCGGTTTCAAACTTAGCGTAGTTGTTCCACTCACGATAAGTTTGCGGGAGAGTTTTAGAGCATTTATAGCAAGGCCAAGATTATGAATCTATGATATTGGAAAAGCCCAGGCCATGTAATTAGATCTAAGCAAGTAGGTTCATATATATAGTCTCTTGTAATTAACATCAAATAGTCAATCTTGAGAGTTGCCTCAAAACTACTCTACTTCTTCATCTTATGAAATATCAAATCTTGTGTTTTTGGTGACAATCAATAAAGTTCTTTACTTTTATCTTTCTTTGCATAATAAAGCTCTTAATGAGCTATCTAGGCCTGGGCATTCGGGTTCGGTTCTTTTTTTCGGGTATCGGGTCTATTCAGGTAGGGGGTCAAGACCCATTCGGGTATTCTAAAAATTCGGTTCGGGTTCGGGTCGGTTCGGGTATTTTAATAAAAAAAGCAAAATACCCGAAAATAACCAAAAATACCCGAAATATTTTCGGGTTCGGGTTTTTAACTCATATATACCCAAATCTAACCGAAATACCCGATTTCTCAAAAATACATTGGTTACTCTTTACCCAAATATAACCAAAAATATCTAAAAATACTAAAATTACCCAAAAGAAAACTACATCATTAGTTACTTTTTAACCAAATATATCCAAATGTATCCGAATTACTCAAAAATACCTAATATATTCGGATTTATGATTGTAATTTTAGGTATTTTGGGTATTATAAATATAAATATAACTAATATTTTTAGGTGTATATTTGTATTCGGGTACATTCGGGTACATTCGGGTATTGGATTCGGTTCGGGTTCGGTTCGGGTTTTTTTCGGGTAGGAGGTTAGGACCCATTCGGGTATTTTTAAAAATCGGGTTCGGGTTCGGTTCGGGTATTTTTCGGGTTTTTCGGTTCGGGTATTCGGTTCCGGGTATTTTGCCCAGGCCTAGAGCTATCTTATTTTCAGTTTTAGATTTCAATGTTAATAAGAGCTTGAATCCTACTAGCTATGGATTTTCCTACATGAACAACCGTATCATATTTTGTATGTAAATAATATTCTATCGAATTGGTATATTTATGCTATCCATCGAATAAATAGATGTTGACAAACATAGCACACTGATGGGTGTTATATAATCATAGATTTTTTGTTTGAATTGAATGTAAAATTGTATTCAACCAAAAACTTTTGTACAATGAATACGACTGTTTGTTCTAGAGTTTCAATAAAATAAAATAAAAAGAGAGTTTGAGGAAATATATATAAATGGTCTTGATTTTGGTGTTGATCGAGTAGAGAACCACAAATTTAGGCCGTTATATGATCTCCTAAGTCGCTGATTGAGTTGATGCGATTCCGGACAATTTTTCCAATGAATTTGCATTAATGTAACTGAGCTTTTGGAGATCCATGTGTCTTCTTGCGTTTCTCTCATTGCCAAATGTGGTATTGTGGTATAAAGTGGTTTGGAAATTGGAAGACTACAATTATGGATTTTAAATCTAGATAATTAACTTTAGGATGATTGAATAATATCCTCTAAATTTTTAACTATTGTTCCAAATATGTAAATAACTTCCTTTTTTTCTTTAAAATACTAACCAAGACGAATAAGGTCCAAACCATGTTGGAGAGCTGATTCTATGACGAACCCAATGCCGGATGAAACCAGTAGAATATGATCTGTAAGATGAAGGATGGTTCGGTTCAGCATTTATGAATATCCTCGAGCATCGCAGTCTTTTCAGAATTAAAACCAATGATATTTAGCTTCGGATTTTATGTTAAAATTAATAGAGTAATTTCATGTTTTTCTTTCGTTAAGCACTAGATGTTTCTCTAATTATTGTTCCACAAATGTTACTCAACTTCTCTTATTTTTCTTCTTTCATTACTTACTAGAGAAAATTCCGGGCTATGCCCGGATATATATTTAACATTCATCATATTTTAAATTAATTAATATAGTTTAAATTCTTTTATTTTTTTAGTGTACATACGAAAAATCATGTGATGTTTATTTTATTCCAAATTCTCTAGTTCTTTATTTATAATATGAAATTTATGATTTTCTTCATGTTAAGAAATATTTTAATTATTTTATGTTTTCAAAGATTAGATTACTATCATCTTACTCCATAGATAACATTTTGCATATTTGATAAGTTTGTGGAATATTTTAGCTAAACACTATTGAGTATGCATGGTTTTCTATGTTTAAGAATCATAACTTCATAATGCCAAGTTCTAGCGCGGGTTGTTTCTTTTTGTGTTTGTACTTTGTCGTTTGTATTATGTGGATATGAATTAGAAGGTAATTCAATTTCTCGTCCATATAAAAATTCGACTGTAGTTTAATTCAGCGTGAATATACAATTTAATTGTATTTTGCATATTAAACAAGAAAATATGGAAGAGAGATGGAAAATAATCAATGGAGAGACTCGAACACTTATGCTAAAAGTCATCATATTAGCGAATTGAACACTTATATTTCAATTTTCTTTTCTCCAATCTTTGTGACTTGCAGCATTCTCCTTCTCCTCCAAAATTTTCTCATGCTTAAGCACGTGAAGAATGTTAAGTTCCACACAAAGCGAGTCTTACCTTTGTGAAAATATCCGTAAATGATATTTTGTTGGACTGAAAGAATTTTTTTTTAAAAGAATTTCAAGAATGATGAAGGTCTTTGGAAGTCACTTTTGGAGAACCTTATAAAATTTAGAAAGTGGATCCATACCGTAGTCATATTTGCTGCCTTTGACATCCTTAATCAATCCTTGCTAGATCTTCTTTCTCTTAGTCGTCCTATGCCTGCAGATATATTGTTCTAATAATACCATAATAACATGATTTTTTTAAATCGGAAGAGAAAGTGGAGAAGTGATTGTTGAATACGGAGAAGTGATAAGTCAATATAAAGATTGAAGATGCGATCAAAGTTGTGAAAGAGGAAGTGGGAACGATTTGGCTTTGTAACATTAATTTGTGTTATTATTTTCTTAAGAACATTAATTTGATTAGTGAGAGACTATCATAATTGCCTTAACCAAGAAAGAAGTTAAAGTCGTAATATGTGAGGTTATGTGGCAACTTGTAGTAGAGTTTTAAAATGATGATGTGGATAGCTTGAAAGGCTTCAAACAACACCTTTTATTAGTAAGAGATTATTTCACGACCAGGGAACCGCGCCAACTACGTCAAAATTTCCATTTTCACATAGTCCAGAGTAAAATGGGCCGAAAGTGGTGGACCAACCAAGACGACTATAAAGTCCAAACGATGTACAAAACTATATCTTGTGAATATAAAATCTGATAGACCCACCCAATACAACACTTTCTTTATCAAGAAAAAAGACACCGAGACTTTTCTTTTGAAAAAAGATACACTCATACACCGAGACTTGTAAATAATATTGTTGTTGGTTTTGTTCTTCTCGAAAATAGTATATAGTTTTCAATTTTAAAGTTTTTATAATGAATAAGGATTGAATGTGTATATTTTTACCAAACTATATAACACATGGTCCTAAATATCTTCATTTTGTCTACAAAAATCATGAGTTACAATTTTGTATCTTTTTGTGAATTCATAAAAATAAAAAACATTTCGTGTAAGGATGCACAACAAGTACATATCATAACAATTACTTATGTACAGTATTTCTTTAATTTTGTTCTGTTTATCGTCTCTTTAGTAAATTGGATCACAAAAATAAATTTTATAACATGTTATATCAAAACAATTTATGTTTGAAATAATCCTAGTAGTCTAAATTCGGAAAAAAATCAGTAATTTCCGAGTAATCTTGATGATGCGAATAAACTAAATAGAAAAATATCAATAGATTTATTCAAAGGTAGTGTGGTGATTGGTCTAAAGATAATCAGTAAGCACAAGCTTCGCTTGTATTAGTGCCTGTAGTAGTTCTTCAAACAAGTGTTATTGGAGTTTTTTCCGACATGGTGACTGAAACTCATGAACTTTGGAGTTAAAAATTGCAAGATTTTGAAGATTTTTAAGGTACTCAATCGTATCAAAACTACAACAGCTGATGAATCATTCCACAATTTCTCAAACGGAACAAATCTTGTAATTTAGAAGATAGAAACAATCGACACAGATGAAATCTCGCGAAGAAAATTGTTATTTAGAGAATGACAAGTGACTTAACATTACGTTTCCAGATACCAAAATACCTAATCACGAACTGTTACATCAAATCTAAAGCAGAACCAAACCAAACAGAGAACACACAGAGAACCAAGAAGATAGCATAACGAGCGAGAGAGAGAGAACATTCATTGATAATCCCAAATCTAATTAAAGGAATTACCATCCTCCTCCACCGCTTCCTCCGTAACCTCCTCCTTCACCACCACCGTATCCTCCTCCACCCTCACGTCTTCCACCACCGTAGCTTCCGCCACCACCACCTCCTCTTGAGGAGTAACCGCCACCACCGCTGTATCCACCTCCTCCCTCACGTCTACCGCCGCCGCCACCTCCGTAGCTACCACCGCCACCTCCGTATCCACCACCACCTCCGCTGCGGTATCCACCGCCACCACCTCCACGGCCGCCTCCTCCGCCGCCGCTTCCTCGTGACTGAGCCTCGTTAACAGTGATGCTACGTCCATCGAGCTCTTGTCCGTTCATTCCCTCAATCGCATCCTTCATGGATTTCTCATCCTTGAAGGTCACGAATCCGAATCCCCTTGATCTTCCAGTCTCACGATCGTTAATGATCTGTTATCCAAAAGCCAAAAAAAAACCAGATCAGCAAAACAATCCAACAAAGCTGAACAAAATCATTAGATCTACTTCAAAAAAAAACACAAAATTCCGATCGATCTCCGGGCTCACAGAAGCAGGAAGATGAACGTACCGATTTTGGGAAAAACAAGTAACAGTAACAGTAGTAACAAAGAACGAATAGTAGTAACAGAGTAACAGTAATCGAATCAAGTAACAGAGAAACACAAGATCGGAACAGATCCGTCGAGGATGAGATCATCGAAATCACTCGGAGTCCGATCTCGGCGTGTAACAGACCTTGGAATCAACAACGTCGCCGTATTGAGAGAAGGCAGTTTCAAGAGCTCTGTCATCAGTGGCCCAAGCTAGACCTCCAACGAAGCACCGATACTCAACATCTGCGGACGCCATTGAAATTTGAGAAGAAGATCTAGGGTTTACAGTGAGAGAAGTGAGCAGAGAGATTTGTGAAGAATGAAGAAGACGAAGTCTCGTTTTTATAAGGGGGCTGAGATATTAACCAAGGTTTAGATATTTTTTAGGTTTAGAGTCGGTTTTGGTGAATTTTGGTTTAACTATGGTTAAATGTGTGGTTAAAATTCGTAGTGGTTGGGGACATATCACGTGACACTTTTTGGTTTAATGCGCAATTGGAAAGACGACGATGCGAGAAAGGATATTTTTCTTTGTCCCAAGAAAAAATATCTCAGTGGAGCAAAAAAATATCTCGTATGCCAAATGACATCTTTATCCCTTAGCTCTAAATTTGAAATAACGTGGTGATTGGTACTGGGCCGGAACAATTGGGCTACTATAATTCGGCTAGTAGTATAATTGGGCCGCAATAATTGGGCAGAAAAATTAAATGCAAAACATTAATTTCGGAAAAAGATAGTGTTGACAGTGGGATTTGAACCCACGCCCTTTCGGACCAGAACCTTAATCTGGCGCCTTAGACCAACTCGGCCATATCAACTTTGATGCAATGTAATCGCGACTATAAAATTAGATACTTATAAAATACATGTAGTTCATTCGTTTTAACTTTAACGATAAGCAACATTAAAAAAAGTGAATTAAGGAGAATAAAAAATAAAGGAAATCTGATTAACCGTTTCTCTCCCAAAGCGATCAAGAAGGCGACTTTTAACAAAAACAACTTTTCATTATCTTCTCCGGCCGGCGTCGACTCCGGCGTCGGCCGTACTTTCTTTTCTATTTTTTGTTTCGTTTGTAGTTTTAAGTTTCTAAATAAAATCTCAATCAGAGACGTGTTTACTTGTGTGATCATCACCAAATCACCAATTACTATTGCTTGGCTTCTTCCCGTAGACGAAATGGCTTCATGTGGCAAAGTAAGAGATGGTTTTTCGGTGATGGGGTTGTCTGGTAGCGTAGGACATGGCGATCCGGATATGATGATGCCTTTGTTAACAAATCCATGGTTGGGTTTGTCTCAATTCTGGGTCTCCACATTGATAGCCGATGCCACTTCGATTCTCGCTCTCAGGGTTTTCTTTCCTCTTCACAGAGGCGTAATTGTCCGTGCGATGATGATATGGTTCATTCACGGTGTTTTTTCGGGTATGCCCGACCTTCTCGGTTTGGTGACAATAGTTGCCGACGGCTTCTTAATGCAAATTTGCGGCCCTCGACGCATATGGAATCCCGGAATCACATCGGAGACATTTGTCGTGAAGCTCTTCAACGACGTCTTTGGTTTGAGATGTATAATAGGATGGGATTACACTAGTACCAAGCCAAACTTTCTAATGTGCATTATGACACCGATACGGACTAATTGGTATTGGATTGTCGGGATTTCAAAACTTATTCTAGGAACAACGGGCTTTTTACATGTGATGTGGAGTTTCGAACAAAGAATGCCAATAGGGCATACATATCACATTCGAGTAGGGTGGCTTATGAAGAAGGAACATAATATGTTTATCATGTTAGCGAGTAAGGCTTATCGAAAGGAAGCATCGTCAAATTCACTTTTTCACTTTCGTCATCTTCAATATATGGCACATAATTCTGCTTATGTAATAAATTGTTTTATGAAGTTTTGTAATGGTTTTGTACTTGTTGTAATACCAATTGTTTAATGAAAGTTTTTAGAAGGAAACAAAAAAATAAGGAGAATAAAAAATAAAGGATAATGTATTGGGAAGAGAATTAAGGAGAATAAAAAATAAAGGATAATGTATTGTGAAGAGAATTAAGGAGAATAAAAAATGATTCTTTCGAATACAAATTTTCTTTTTTGGATATTTTTTTTTTAACTTCTGAAACTTGCATTAAATAGTATAAGGTTGGTACAGATTTTTTTTTTTTTGCTAAGAGAGTAAATATCAATAGATGAAAGTTTTGGTGTTACAATATATAAGACCTAGAAGCATGAACCTTGCCAAAAAAAAGTTAAAAAACAAGGATACATTAAAGAGTACACAATAACAATTAAGGAAAGAAACCGATCCTTAGCTGAGCCATAAGGCCATGAGGTTGGTACAGTCGTACAGATATGGAATCAACCAAATAGGAGTTTTATGGAAGTTAACCAGTAAATGAGAATTTATTTACTCGGTGAAATGAAATTATGTTTCCTTATAAATAGTTAAATACACACTACGGCTTCTTTAAAAAAATTCAATTCCGTTAATTCTCTCTTCTGACTTCATACGATGGTTGTAATCTCTGAAATTTCCGACGACGGCTCTAATGGCGGCGATCATCAAAAAAAGAAACCTAAGGAAGAAGAGAATCGAAACAAGAAACTGAAAGAAAAGGTTAAGGTGTCGCTACCAATTCCAGAAGAACTCATCCTACGTTGCTTCCTACTCGTTCGGAGATGCCACCACCCGTCGCTTCCTTCGTCTCATGCCAAAGCTCTACGACGATCGCTTGCGTCTCGGCTACACCGAAAGCGTTCTTTATGCCTGTAATAGGATAAACCGGTAACCGGTTTATCCTATTACAATGCCTATATCGTACTTCTTCCTTCTGATGAAAACCCTAGCTGGTACATTCTCCATCGTAAACCCTATCGAAACTTGCCGAACACGACTTCTTTAAGATTGTGCAAACTCGATATACTCCCTTTCCCTCCCATGCTTTGGGGATTTGTTGTGGTCTCAATCGGTTCGGATATCTGAGTCGGCGAGGAACGCTCATCGGATATGACTCTCATCGATTGCAAATCTCACAAGTATCGCTCGCTACCAAGAATGAAGGTGGCTCGCTGTCTTGCAGCCGCAGGTGTAATTGACGGAAAGATATACGTAATTGGAGGTTGCTTAACAACACGATCTTCGGATTTTATAGAAGTGTTCGATGTAAAGACTCAGATATGGAGTGGAACGGTGAAGCCGATTGAGATACTACCTAGTGTGAGTAGATATTTTGAGGCATGTGCGGTGATAGAGGAGAAGATTTACCTTAAGGGTGATCACCATTGTTTTGTTTACGAACCCAAAGAAAGTAAATGGATGCGTTTGAAATTCCTTGAGTTGAATCTTCTGTTCAATGAATCGTCTTGTGTGATAGGTGATAAGTTGTTTCTCATTCATGGAGGAAGGGATTTTTTTGGGATCCAATAGTTGTGTGTGATCTAAAGAAGAAGGAAGTGAGACCCTTGAAGGGTTTACAAGGGTTTCCGGATAATATAAACATGGCGGCGTCTAAAATGGCGAATTTTGGTGGAAGGTTGGTGATTTTGGGATGTAATCAGCGTCAGACTTTAACTAGGTATGAAGAAAAAAAAGAGGTTTGGTGCGTAGAGATTGAATTGGAAGAAAGGGAAGAAGGAGGTGAGATTTGGGGGAAGGTTGAATCAGTCGATGTTGTGCTTACTACAAGAAAACAAGGCTCTTTCCAACGGATTTTCTGACAGCAAAAAAATGGTCGGAAATTTTTGACGGTTTACCGATACTATTCTGTCGGCTTTCCGACGACAGTCCTCCCGTCGCAAATCCGTCGCAAATTTCCGACGGCTTTTTTGTGGTCGAAAATTCGTCAGTGATTTCCGACGACATTCCGATCAAATTAAATTCGGCGACGTATTTCCGACGGTTTTCCAACCAAAATATATTCGTTATGATCCGTCGGAAATCCGTCGGGAGGCGAGGTTATTTTCCGACGGATTTCCGATCACAATATTATAATCCGTTGGAAATCCGTCGGGATGCTAAAGCTATTTTTCGGTGGAAATTATGATCAAAATATACCCGTAAATATAGATCAAAATAAGCGGATCTCCGTTTTATAGCCGTTCGAAAATTTTAAAATTCTTCGGTATCCGTCGGAAATCCATCAGATATTTCCAACGGCTTTCCAACGAACTATAAGCAACGTGCCATATTAATTATTAATTTCGTATCATGTTCGTCCGATTAATAGTTACCGTCGGAAATTGGTCGGGCATTTCTGACGATTTTCCGACCAGTCAGGCTTTAGGGTAATGAAATTGTTCAATTTCATTGCAAATTTGTGAAAAAATTAGAAATAAACTTCATGTTTGTTGAATGAGAAACTAATAAATCCAAGAAAATTTTGATTTTTCATCAATTTCTATTTTTGCAAAAGAAACACATAAGTCTTTTAAAACTTCAAGTGTTAAGTGTAGTGTATTCTATTGGTCCACTAGTATATTAGTGTTGTGTTTAACATTTGAAGTACTAAACTATGTAGTAAACTTCATCTAATTAAATGGTTAAGCTTGTTTATGTGCAATGAATCATTGTACTTCAAAATCAAATCTCAAACCCCTAACTGGTCAGAAATCCGTCGGAAAGTTCCAACAAATTTTCGACTGCGTTTTTTGAAGATTTTGGTTAGGCATTCGTATGCAAAATAATATTTTATGTTCCCGACGGATTTCCGAGGGATTTTTTTTGCCGTCGAAAATCCGTCGGAAACGAAAATAAATATTTCCCGCTGAGACGAAAAGCTAAGCGGCAATATATGATTTATTAATTTAATTCTCATAAATGTTTTCCTTTTCTCTTTGGTTTTCACGCTTCTCCATCTTTCCAAAATGAGAACCCAAAATTCTCTCTCAGATCTCTCAATTCTCACTCAATCTCTCTAAGATCCCTTAAATCATTCAATATCCCTCAAATATCTCTTAATACTCTCACAATTTCTTTCACATCTCAACTCTCTCAATCTCTCTCTGTCTCCCTCAATCTCTCCACGTCTGTCTCCCTCAATCTCTCCACGTCTCATCTCAAACTCTCTACAGCCATGTAAGTGAACCTTCTCTACCAATTTCAATTAGTGTTTTAGATTTCGTTAATTTTTGTTATGATTTGTTGAAATTCTGGATGTGTAGGTTGATAGATTTATTTGTTAGTGATAGGTTTAGGTTCATAGAATTATATTGTTTATAGAATTGAACAAAATTTAGGATGTTTGGATTAAAACCTAAGAGGTTTAGGTTATTAGATTTGGATTAAAATTTCTGAATTTTAGGCGTTTAGGTTAAAAGATTTATTAAACGAAATTAAAAAAATTACATTTGTAATATATTTTGAAAATATAGAACGTGGCTAGAAGTTAATTTAGGATATATTAAGAATATGCAAAATCTAATTTTTAATAATTATGTAAACGAATTTATTTATTTATTTTGGTATATTAAGCTAAACGATATTATAGAAAATGGATTTTAACAAAAGAATGGTTATAATTAATAAATTTAGAAGTCTTTTGGATTTCCCATTTAAAAACAAATTTTACTAAGATATCTAAAAGTTTTTTTGAAATTAGAAACTTTGATTTTATTAAACTGTTTACTAATAATATTATTTTATTTTGTAGGGGTTCTTACCAAGATTTTCGCAGGTCCGAGGATCGATCGAATAATCAGGCGCACTCGACAACCCCATCACCATCGACCGTTCCCGAGTCGCAGCAGTCCACGGCTCGTCTACCAATGACAGTTGAGGAGCTAGTCCAACAACCAGGGCGGACACTTCTTCGACGACTCCATCCAAAAAGGCTCGAAAAAGGGAGCACATGGTAAGTAAATTTTGTTTTCCTGTTTTAATATATACATATTTTAAAGTAGAAATAATATTACTTCTCTATATTTGTAGGTTTGGTTATACCAAAAATGGCATATCCAAATCCATTTTACGGATGTTGCACGGGATGCTCAAACATCCGTATCCGACTTACAGTGATATGCCTAGCGACGATCGAGAGCTTTGGTTCAGGACTTTCGCAGTAATGCATTTATTATTACGTACTTGATTTTGTATTTTTTTTATACTACTAACATAATTCTTTTGGTTTGTAGCATGAATTCGATTGGGATACTGTCCACACACCCCTTGTCCGTGTCGCGTTTACAAAGTATGCTTCATTAAAATATTCAGGCCACATGAATGCATGGAAAGAAAAGTGGGCGGAAGGCAAGGAGTGTCCAAAAGGCTTGAACCCAGACGTATGGCCTGGCTTCAAACAGTATTGGGGGTTGCCGGATACTGCTCGTACCGCGGAAACCAACTCAAAAAACCGGAAGAGCCAACAAGGTGGCAAAGGTATGGCGGTGCACAATGCGGGTTCGACGAGCTTCTTAAGTCGTATAGACGAATTGGTAAGTCTTTTACTTTTATTTGATTTCATGTTTTCTTTACAATTTAACTTTTTTTTTTTTATATATAGACGGAGAAAAACGGAGGTGTGGAACCTGATTTTGTAGAAGTCATTGAGGATACACACACCAACAAGAAAACAGGAAAAATTCAAGATGATTACATCGCAGGCCTCGTTGAGACGTTGAAGAAAAGGAAGACGGAGTGCCTCACGCAGCTTTCTCAAAATGATGATGGTTCCTCATCATCCAACGTCTTAGTCCGAGAAAAGATCAACCGCATGGTTCTTGAGGTAAGCTTTGTTTTATAACTTAACATTTTTTTGTATACATTTTAAAGTTTACTAACAATTATTATATACAAATTCAGAAAATTCCGCTAAAGCGGGTCGTGTGGTGGGCTTAGGTAGCCTAAACCAAAGCAACGGATGTTCTTATTCCGGTCCTTCACAGAATTCCGAGATCTTTGCAGAGCTTGAAGAAAAAGACAAGGAGATCTTAGCATTGAAA